TAAGGCATTTGACTGCTAACCAGAAGGCTAGTGGTTCAAACCCACCAGCCACTCCTTGAAAAGAAGGTTGGGCAAATCTACTTCCATAGTGATAATGCCTCGGAAACCAAAAGAGGGGTCACTATGAGTCCGATCCGAAATGATGGCAGTGAGTTTGTTTTTTTGGTTTGAGATTGGCAAAGATATTGAATGATAAGAAAAACAATAGACAAAATTTACTGAAAAGAGAAGCACCTAGATATTAATATTAGCTGACATGCTTTTCAACATTTAAAACTACTCCCTGAGTAGCTCTTCTGTGGCTGATTTTATTCTAGAGCCTCAAGTTCATGGCTGAACAAAATCTGTGAAAAATTCCTGCTCTCTTTAAGCTTATATTTGTGTCAAGGGTGACAACTCAAGTAAGCTACACAGTGTGTCAGAAGATAAGTGCCCTGGGGAAAATTTAAAAGGAATCAAAAAATAAAATAAAAGGAATGCTTGTGGAGGGAGGTGTGGAAGAAGACATTCATTCATAGAGAAGGTCATCTTTGAGTATATATTTAAAATAGGTGAGAGAGTGAGCCATGTGGAGATAAATGGGAAGAGGATTCCAGATAGAGGGAACAGAAAGTGCAAAATGTTTTGAAGTGCAAAGAGATCGGGCATGTTTCCACAAAGTGTTCTGGTTACCTAGTGCCACTCTGACAGGAATATACCACAAAAGGGATGGCTTTAAGAAACAGGATTTTATTCTTACAATTTAGAGGCTTTAAGTCTGAGTTCAAAGTGCCAGACTCTAGGGGCTGGGTGAATTCCCCTCAACCTTAGGCTTCAGCTCTGCCTCCAGCTCCTGGCCCACTGGAGCTACAGGCATTTCTTCACACAGACAGCTGCTGACTGCTGAGGCTGCCAAGCCCAATGTTGACAAGTGAAAAAAAACACAGTCCTGATGTTACCAAACCACACAGCAGGGCATTCATTAATTCAAGTCCATTGTAAGTCCCCAGGTCAGCAGAACATGGCAGGCTGCTGAACAATGACATGGCCACATGCAGGGTTCAAGCATGCCATAAGCTAGAGACCATTCCCCAAGGCTTCTGCTTATATACAGGAAGCAGACCACAGCCCTAAGGCAGCTGCTCAACTGCTCACAGTAGATTCCACCATGGAGTTGATTACCAGTGTCATCAAGGGGAGTACTACATCCAGCTGCCCAGCCACTCAACTAGGCCCAGACAAGTTGACACACAAACTGAACTACCACAAACAGCAAAGAGACCAGTGTTGCTGGCATGAAGTGAGTCAGGGCCTGAGATAGGAAGTGAATCAGGGAAGAGGAGGAGAGGGTGAATCCTAACAGCTGCTTTGGCTCATCTTCTCAGTGGGAGGGAGAGCTATGGGAGGATTGTGAGCAGAGAAGGGATAAAATTTGTTTTACATTTTACAAGGATTACTCTAGCTTGTGTGGTATAACTTTTTTCAGAACACTAGTTAGAAGTTTCAAAAATGTTTCTAGCTTTTAAAAATGATTTATACAACTCATATAATTCATTTGTGAAAAAGGTATGTGCTTCTTAGATGTTTAGTACATATCTACTTAGTTTTTGTTTTCACCAAATGAAACAGAAAACAATTGTATACATGTATTTGTTTCTTCTTCTTTTATGGCACTTTTGTCTGAGAAAGTTCCCTTCACTATTGGACATAACATTACACCTCCCTCAGGCTCTGGGGAGGCATTTAAATAGTCTTGCGCATACTGCATGCTCAGTCTTGCCTCTGCATCTCCACTCCTACTGCTAATCCTGCTTGGAATAACATCCCCATCTCCTTCCTTCCTGCCCGTCAGAGCTAGCTGTGTTGCCACAAAGCCTTCACCAATTGTTTCCATTACTATTAACATCTTTTCCAAAATCCTTATGCCCTGAGAATGTGCATCACCAAGTTTATAACAGCTATTTGTGTATTGTATTGTGTTTTTCAACCATTTCAAATGTTTGCTTTGTCTAACTAGATAGCTCTTGGAAAGCTGGGTCCATGTTCTCCCTTTTCTGCATGGAGCACAAGTTGAAATTCACAAAAGATGTTCGTTAAATCCTGATGTTTTGTTGGTTGATCCCTCAACATATTTCTATATCTGTCACAGTGAAATTAGGGTATTCAAATCTGCTTTTTAATGAAGGATGTCATTGGGAGCCCCAAGGGAATGATTGATGGTAGAACAAGCCAGGTGGGGACACTTTTCCAGTTTTTAAATTGAATTCAGGGCACCAGTGTTGCTGGTCCCTTCCCAGGTGCTGAATAGCTTATATGCAGAAATCACTATTGCTTTTCTTCCTTTTATTTCAGATGAAATAGCACTTTATTTATGAGTATCTTCAGCTGATAAACATTAATTTTGTTTTCCTCCTTATTTCTTTTATGCACTGCATTTTTGGTTGGTACCATCTCTATCACAAATGTAGAATGGCCTCATGTGAAAAGCCATTTCAGATTATATATTTTGCCATATTAATATTGTTCAACATGATAAACAATTAATTGGTCTTTAGTATGGAAATAATCAAATGCTTTATTAAGGAGTTCATATATGATATGAATAAATTTTCCTAAGTATGAAAGACACACACTCAAATTAAACAATGCATATACTACATTTTTTTTTAATCATGTTTATAAGATCAAGGCACACTAGGAAACAGAGATTATGCTTTCCAATATGATCTTGCCAAATATATATCATTTTGAGTTTTGATTTAAACACTTGCTTACTCTCTCAATTATAAACTATCTCAAACTGGTTTTGTAAATGGGTTTCAGTTCTAAAGCCTCAGTATACTGGACGATGAATTCACAATGCATTCATCAAGAAGCTTTCATCTTTTTGTGGTCAAGGATAACCATTTGCTTTTTGTCATTGAGGTATTTTACTTTCACTGAAAATAGTAGAGATTATAAGCAAAATTAAGTGTATTTGTTGAATTGCACACCTTGCATTGCTTTCTAGTAATAGAAGTCCAATTACCTTAGAGTTCTCTTCAAATGAGAAGAAATTTCATAGTTTAGGAGAAGAACTAACTCCTAAAGTTAGTTTCTTCCTTTGAACCTAGAGGACATGCTAAAACCAAACACATCATTGGATTGGATTAGAATGAGCAAGTTTGTCTTCTATATACAGGTGTTTGCTGCTGTTTGTTTCAGTGGAAGCACTGAATAGTAAGGTGAAAGCAGAAGTACAGCTAGTGGAAGCCACGTTTAGATCCCATAATGTGTTCTTGAATGTGCATATAAGGAAATTCTTCTTGTAAAGATCTAGGATATTTGTAGATAACATAATTCATTTTCTTAGTCCATTAGCACTTGGTGTTTGAATTTTAGTGGCTAAATGTTGGGAAAATTATTTGCAGATGTCAGTGTTTTACTCCTAACCAAAGCAGTGGATGATTTGCTTTTATTACTCAAAGGAAGAACGAATTCTGTTATTTTGTATTATCTCATAAAAGTCATGTAGAGGATTATTACTATTTAAATATTGCCATTAAAAATAATAAGCACAGCCACATGTTTTACATATCATCTGACTAATCTTTGCTATATACTCCAGGCATGAACTTCTAGAAGAAGCTCGGAGAAAGGGATTACCTTTTGCCCAGTGGGATGGGCCCACTGTGGTGGCCTGGCTAGAGGTAAGACAGGTTTTAATAACCAGAAGACTCTTAAACTAATAATTACTAATTTAATAATTTTTGGAGATAGCAAAGGATAAATTACTAAAGGCATAGTTTCCCAGTGGCCAGGAACAGCTTCTAAAGGGAAGCTTTGCTTTATCTAGGGGCCTGTTTTACTCTGACACTTCCTTGTGATTAGGGAAAAAAGGAACCACTGAGTGGGATAAAAGAAAATTTCTCTAAATCCTGCCTCCTTCTTAGCTAGAGAAAAAGAAGGAACAATTACTGAGCCTTATTTCTTTTGTTGCAAATATACACACATCTGTCCCAGGTCATCAGGCCGGAGTACCGTCTCATCAGCAGGCTACAGGGAGGAGCATCTCCATATTCAGCACTTCTGTCTTATGCAACACACTGCTGCCACCCAAATGTATAAAGAGCCATGTTGTTGTTTGTAATGTAACTCCTGAACCTAGCCCTCTAAAGCCTAGAAGCCAGCCCTGGTTTAGACACTTGATAAAGTAAAAGCAGTCTCATGCTCTTGTTAATTTCTGTGTCCAAACTGAATGTTTGATAAAGCACCACATTCAACATTTCCTACACAATATAGTGTTACTGGAAAATACAGCAATACCTGAGCAAGATGCAGGCCAGCAGAAGCAGGCTTTGACCATTAGGGACATATGTATTTGACCAAGTAGGTCCCCTTCTTGGCCCTTATCAGTAGTTTCCACTGCCCTTTCCATTCAGTTCTCTAAATGGGCTTTTAGCAGTTTCTAGGACAGGCCACTGTCAGGGCAAAGAAGCATATAGTCTCTTCTTGCATGACAAAGCTATTAGAGACCATTGTTGTAAGTGGTTTGGGATTAGACAATCACCATCATCACATTATATCGAGAACTAGCTAATTAATCAATGAAGAAAACAATTAAAACACATTTTATTAAAAAAAAAAATAGGTAGGTAGGTAGGGAAGCAGGATTTGCATTTTTCTTGGACTGAATGAAAATAGCTTTTGCCTTGCTTTATTTCACTCTTTCATATCAGTCAGGAAATTTTTACCGTATTAGTGATCAAAGTTGCCTCTTTAAAGCATATCATTAAAATTACTATATTTAAAAAAATCAAATATAAGACAAAATGCTTACAAGTACACACCTGGAAAATGACAGCAGTTCATTGTTCATTTTTCAATTTGATAAAATGATCTGCAGTTTGACAGAGAGTTAGCTGCTATTTTGGCTACTAATGAACAAATCCTTTATAGAAAAAGCAGATTCACTGACATTAAGGTGCTAGGAAGTGACAGGCAGTGAAGTTTGTGCTAATTAAACCTATCCTGAGCACACAGGAATCGCTCATAATGTGCTTCCTAATGTGACTCAAATTATAACATGGAATAAGCCAGATGAATGAGCAGCGTTATCTGATGAATGAGGGCTCTTAACTTTCACCTCCTTGAGTGCACAGCCTGTTAACAGTGATGTGTAGAAGTGAGTCTGATGCTTCACACACAATTTGTCCCCATCAAACACTCTGCAAAAGCTAATCAGGAATGACAATGTATTGGCAAGCTTTAAAGTAGTGTTAATCAATGTAGAAATCCAAACATTTTAGTAA